CGCGCCCTCGGGGTTCGGAGCTCCGGGGCCGCTCACCCGATCGCCCCAGCCGCGCGGCCCCCCGGCCTCTGCAGACCCCTCCATCGGCCTGCCGTCCACCCCCCTGGGCTGTGACTCAGGCCACCCCTTCCCGCCGCTGCCCTGTGACTCACGTCCCTGGGCTGCCCCAAGAGGGGGTTGCTCATCCTGGGACTCTCCCGCCCGCGACCGGAGCACACACGCGCCCACCCGGGACCCGCGACCGGCCCCGGTGTTTGGGGCGTCTTTGCTCGCTAAGGTTGGGAGAAGTCGTGAGATACTCCCTAACTCACCGACCTTAGTCGATGCGGGCCAGCGCGGAGGGGCCCAGGGACAGACACTGTCTGTCTGTCTGTCTTAACCCCCCCCCCCCCCGCCCCCATCTCTTCTGTCTCTCTCCCCTCTCGCCACTCCAGGGCTTAGACATTAGCACCGGCCTGCCTTTCTAGCTGGGACTGCCCAAGCCGGAGAGAGCAGGGCTCACTCAAATCAAAGAACTTGGAGCAAGAAGCCTGCTCAGAATCATGACCACCATTCACAATCACAAATGCTCATATCAAAATAAAATAGAATCGACTCCCAAATTAATGTGTGACATAGTCTGACATTAAAAGAAGGTGGCCCAAGAATGAGAGATTATCCCAAGTTGAAAACTAGATCTACAAAATAGATGTGCTGGCTTCCTGTGGAGAAAGAACCCAATCAGAGTTGCGGACCTTTCTCTACAAATCAGATTCTGTCGTAAAAACCTTGGCTGGCTCTCACAGCCACATGTTTATCCCAGTGCTTTTGCCCAGACTGTTGAGAACTTACTGTGTCCAAAGTATTGCCTAGGCCCAGGATGACAGCGGGTTAAAAAAATTCATCTTGTGTCCAAAGGACACTACCTCCCCTGAGTAATAGGTTTCAACAGCATGTGGCGTGCAGGTAAGATCTACAGCTCAGCAACTCATAGGATTTGACTTGAAGTTTTTATTTCTTGTTGGTGATTCTGCTTTCTGAAAGTCTTAAATATTTTCTCTTAGGTGATTTTAAAGATTGGTCTTAGCCAGGCGGTGGTGGCACACGCCTTTAATCCCAGCACTCGGGAGGCAGAGGCAGGCAGATCTCTGTGAGTTCAAGGCCAGCCTGAGCCTGGGCTACCAAGTGAGTCCCAGGAAAGGCGCAAAGCTACACAGAGAAACCCTGTCTCGAGAAAAAAAAAAAAAAAAAAAAAAAAAAAGATTGGTCTTACGTCACCCGGAGCCAAGTCATGCAGATTCTGGCCAGATACCCTGGAATCCACTTGTAGGTGTGAGAGCCAGCCATGGTTTTCACAGCAGAATTTAGTTGATTTGTGGAGAAATTTCCCTTTCTGGTTTTAGCTGCCACACTGACAGAGTTCTTTCTCTACAGGAGGCCACCACAACTATTTGTACAATTGGTGTCCCACCTGGAAGTCATTCTTTGGCCACATTACTTTTTTCAAGGTCAGAACACTTCACACATTAATTTGGAGTCGATTTATTTTGACATATACATTTATGTGTGTGAATAGTGAACATGATTCTGAGTGTGCTTCTTCCTCATCCAAAGTTCTTAAATTTGAGGGAATTACATACTAACTGATTTTTAATTAACTAGGGTAACAATGAAATAAGACAAATTATCTAGAGGCTTGCTCAGGGTGTACCCGATTGCTAGTTTTAGCTCAGTACCTGCTATATTTTTTTTTTTTTTTTTGGTTTTTCGAGACAGGGTTTCTCTGTGTAGCTTTGCGCCTTTCCTGGAACTCACTTGGTAGCCCAGGCTGGCCTCGAACTCACAGAGATCCGCCTGGCTCTGCCTCCCGAGTGCTGGGATTAAAGGCGTGCGCCACCACTGCCCGGCAACCTGCTATATTTTATATATATTTGTATATGTATGTGTGTATGTATTTTAAATGGCAGTCTATACAGTGCATATTTTATATATATATAAAATCTATATGCAGGGATTGGAGATATAGGTCAGTTAGTAGAGTGCTTGCCAAGCATGTGTGAGGTCCTGGATCTGACAGCACTGCATTAAAGGACTGAAGATTTATGCCTATAATCCCAGTACTCAGGATGTGGCTACATAGAGAGATGAAGACAGCCTGGGCTACATAAGGCTTTGACAAAAAACAAAAACAAAAACAAAACAAAAGCAAAAAAAAAAAAACCTGAAAACTAAATAAATATTCAGTGATTATTAAACAATAGACACCCCAATGTAAGTTTGTATGTCAAGAGATCTATGCTAGGAGTGGCAGTTGTATTATCAGTTTTAGTTTAGTTTTGTTTGTTGAGGCAGGGTCGAATTGTGTAGCTCTGGCTGGGCTACAATTCACAGAGATCATACTGTATCTCCCAAGTGCTGGGATTAAAGGTGTGTACCTGTTGATGGCTCAAAAGGTGTTTAGTTCAAAAGATGTGCCTTCAGTTGCAAAATACACATGAAATTTTAAAGACAATAAGGCATTAATAACATTTTATATTGATAACATCACGTACAAATAGTTTATTGGGTTAAAGTCAATGAAATTTATAAACTATATTATTACATATATCAATCATTTCAGCTATCTCTCTTTGCTTATTAAAGTATGGCTAGTTAGAAACTCAGAAGTAACATGGGGTTTGAGTTTTTGGCTTAAATTTCTATTGGGTAGTGCTTTGCTAGAGAATTAAATAAGTAACTAAACAGTTGTTTATATAGTTTGTCGTTTAGATTAACTAAAGGACTTGAATAAATCAGTTACCTACAGTGTTTTCTGTTGCTCCCAGTTTTTTTACTTGATCCTCAGGGATTTGGAGACATGGCACAGCACTTTCTGAGCGGTGTTCCTTGCTTAGGAATTTCCTTTCCCTGCTGGTTTGACAGAAATAGAGTTGGGGACCTTTAGAAGACAATCGGCTCAAGTCAGATCCTGTAGAATAAGAACTCATGACTTAGTCCCAGCCCTAAAGGATACCTGAGTTTGATCCCCAGGACCCACAGGAGAAAAAGAGACCTGACTCCCCCAAGTTGTCTGTTGATGTCTACACACAGATACACACACACACACACACACACAGAGAGACACACACAGAGACAAATAGACACACAAGCACACACAAATAAATGGTATAAAAAAGTTAAATCAGCTGGACGGTGGTGGCACACGCCTTTAATCCCAGCACTCGGGAGGCAGAGCCAGGAAGATCTCTATGAGTTCAAGGCCAGCCTGGACTACCAAGTGAGTTCCAGGAAAGGCGCAAAGTTACACAGAGAAACCCTGTCTCGAAAAAAAACAAAAACAAAACAAAACAAAAAACAAAAACAAAAAAGTTAAATCAAGTACTGGTCAAGAGCTAAAGAAAAATAGAATTTTCTGGATGATGACTTCATTTAAATGTGGCAAATGGATTTAAATAATGTCCCCTTTGCTGCATTTTAAACATGAAATAAAAATAGACTTAGCAGAAGGATTTCATTTTTAAGATTAATGTTTTTACTTAGAACACAAATATGTTGAATGTAAAAGAATGGAAAAAGACACATCATATAAACAGTTTCCAAAAGAAGGCTGAGAGGACAGCACTTCTATCACACAAAGGAGATCCGGGACCAAAGGTGTCTTGAGAGCTAGGTAGAGTGGGCAGCTGAAGCCTGAGGACCTTCAAGGACCTCGAGTTTCAGGCCTCAAAAAGCCAAATGAGTTCAATCCTTGGAACCCACGTAAAGGCAGGAGAGAACCAACTTCCCACAAAGTTGTCTTCTGAACTCTGTGTGTGGCACACTTACACCCACATACATACATCACACACACATTTTTAAAACCAAAATGTCATTTGTGATGGGATATTTCTATTACAAAAAGGTTAACCAATCAGAACGATACAGGTTAAAATTAACATAACCCCCACACGTCTCTGTCAGAGGACAGGGAGCTGGCTCTCTCCTTCTCTAATCTGGGTCTCAGGGATTGAACTCAGAGTATCTGATTTGGCGGCGAGTGCCTTTATTGGCTGATCTATCTTGCCAGCTCAGACATAGAAGTTTTAAACACACATAACTAACAGTAAGGCCCAAATACACAAAGTAGAATCTGTCCCACTTAAGAAATAAGATGATTCAGTGAGAACAGTCTGGGACTTCGGCCCCTACTCTCAGCAGTAACTGACGGTTAACGGCATATAGAGAGAAGACGGAGTAGACAAGACATGCTGCGAACCCAGTGCCTCTACTACATCTGCACAGGACACACCGCCCAATGAACATCTCTCTGGGTGCACACTTCCCCAGCCCGTACACAGCATAGTCCAGAGTGGATCCGATTTTTAAAAGGTTGGAAGCATAAAACACTTGCTCTCTGACCACAATAGATTGAGATTAGATATCAAGACTACCAGAAGTCAAAGAACTTGACATATATGTGGAGATTAACCAGTACAACCTTCAATGGCAGCTGTACTAGAGAACTCACAAGAGAAATTAGAAAATACCAGAGGAGAATGATACAACTGTCTGCCAGCAGCTCTTACAGAACGCCATGACAGCAGGCTCACAGGGAAAGCAGAGCTGTAACACCTACGTAAGAAAAGACACAGATGCTAGGAGCAATGGTTTCTTCCAGTAATCCCAGCACTTAGGAGGCTGGGCTCCTGATTATCCTGCTGCCATCTCCCCAGTGCTGGGATAACAGGACTGTGCCATCATGCCTAGCTCCCAGTTTTGACAAAGGTCCCGTGATGGTTAATATATTGTTTTTCCAGTTGGCTACTTTGTGGTACCCAGTTGTCTGGTAAAAATGCAAGGCTACTGCTGTGAAGGGATGTGAGGGATGTGATTCAACGTTTGTAATTAATCAACTCAGTAAAACAGATTACCCTCTATGAGGTGTGTTCATTTTCTGCAATCAACTGAGGCCCTAATAAGAACCACCCAAATGAACTCACATCTCAGGATTAAATGAACTATTAGGATCATCATACAAAGTGACATCAGACACAAATACCCAAATATTCTATGAAATGTCCAGAATGAATAGTTGCCATGTGCCTGGGGGATGGGACAGAGGAGAGGGGTGAGTGAGTAGAATACTACTGATAGTTCTGTAGCTTCTTTTGGGGGGCCATAGTTACTTCAACTGTCTACTTGGCACAACCCACAGTCATCAGGGAAGCGCGAGCTTCAACTGAGGAGCTGCCTAAATCAGATTAGCCTGTAAGCAAGGCTGTGGGGCATTTTCTTGGTTGTCGATTGGCGTGGGACGGCCCAGCCCATGGTGGGAAGGTTGAAAGCCAGCAGCACAAGCCTTTAAGCAGCCATTCTCTGTTGGTTTGCCTTGCTCCTACCTTGATCCCCCTCTATGATAGACTATAATTTATGAGGTACAGTATAAGCTCTTTCCAAGTTGCTTTTGGTCATGGTGTTTATTCTGAGTAAATTTCTGAGTAGCAGAAAGCACTCTAGGCCCAGGGTGATGAAGAGGTTCATGAATACAGCAGTGGTAATGGATGTACACTTCTGGATATTCTAAACTAACAACTGTGTACTTTAGAAGGTTGGACTGAAGCTGGGGAGATGCTTTAGGCTGTAAAGGCACTTGCCAGTCTAAGCCTAACAACCTGAGTTCGATTCTGTGACCTCTGTGGTAGAAGGAGAGAACTGATTCCTGCAAATTGTCCTGACATCCACAGGCACTGAGTTACATAAACACTGGACATACACATGTGCAAATCCATACACATGCAATAAATAACTAAATTAATTTAAAAAAAATACTGAACCAAGCTGGTGGTGCACACCATCAGTCCCAGCCCTCAGGAGGTAGAGGCAGGCTGATCTCTATGAGTTTGTGACCAGTTGGGTCTACATAGCAAGCTCCAGGCTAACCGAGGCACACAGTGAGACCCTGTCTCAAAAAAGCAAAAGACAAAACAACCCCCCCCCCTCAAAAAAAACCCAAACCAAAAACTAAATGAAAAAGGTTCATCTTTATGATACAGGGATTACTGTATCATACAGTATAGTTATTATTTTAAAATACTGTACAAATCTGAAGGCAGTTCATCTTGACCTCAGTTACTGAATCTTTTCCCATCATTTTAACAGTTTCTTTTTTCTTGTGTTCAGAACATATGGATGACAGCATCCATAGCTCTCAGACCTCTGAACATTCCTACGCCGGTGTTTGGGGAGGAACAGAACAGGGCAGCTCCAGCGGGACTCAGCCTTCCCTTCTTTGCCATTCACAGAGAATGCCTCACCGCTGGACGGCTATGCTTTGCCTAGAGCACCGCGTGGCACTCCCAGTGAGCAGTGCCTGTGTGACATCATATGGCAAACTCAGCCCCTGGAGAGATGGACCGTTAGCAACCTGAAGGACTTTCTGCCCATCTTCCTCACTTCTGTCCACTCTCTGCACTCTGTACCATGCCTAACTACATTAGTATTTAGCGAACATCTTGGCCATTTGTATGTTTAATGGATATTTGGTGGGTCCCTTCACTACGGTGGGAGCCGCAAGGCTGTGGAGGTTGACTGGTAAGCTTGAAGACAGAGTTGCCTCCCTCTGTTTCTTTTTCTTTCTGAGGAGGTCTTACTATGTAGATCAGGTTGGCCATAAAATCACCGTCTTACCGCCTCCACCTCCTCCACCTCGTCAGTGATAGGATCACAGGCATATTCTACCACACCCCCATGCTGAGAGTCTTTTGAGATAATGAACTAGTGAACTGAGAAGATAATTTGCCACAATGATAAGTGAGAGAAAGAATAGTGGAATCAAGAATGATTGGAGTGGGATGGGATGTTACATTCCGGCCATGGTCTATCTTTGCCCTGAGATAAGATCTCCTCTTGAACCAGAACAGAAACTTGCTGGCTCACCTGGCCAGGAAGCTCTCAGGAGCTGCCCATCTCTGCCTCCCAACATTTAAATTACAGAGTCTCACAGTCATGTCCGGCTTTTTATATGGGTGCTAATGATTCGAACTTGGGTCCTTACACTTTAAGAACAGCAGCTTTTATTTTGTGAGCACCCTGACCTCAAATTCTCTATGTACTGAGGATGATCTTGAACTCTGATCCTTCTGCCTCCACCTCCCAAGTGCTGGGATTATAGGTGTGTTCCACCATGCCTGGATTTCTCTCCCTTTGTGATTGCAAGCATTTCTTTAGTACCTAGGACTTCACTAATGAGTGAGAAACCTTTGTAAGGACAAACAGATGCAAAGGGAAGGGTGTCATTTCATATTATCTTTGACAAAAAATTTTTTTAATCTTTTTCTTACACATCAGGAGAGGTAAGATTACTCAATAGAAAGGAAATAACTCAATTTTCTTTTAAGATGTTTTTAAAATGTATTATTGTGTGAACATGTGCATGGTGTATGTATGTGGGTACATGTGTCGTGGCAATCATGAGGTCAGAGCACAACTCTATGGAGTGGGTTCTCTCCTTCCGCCTTTACTATGGGATCCAAGGTCATCAAACTTGGGCAACAAGTCCCTCTGCCTGCGATCCATCTCACTGGCCCCAGTTTTCTTTAACTGTGAGCTCTCCTGACATCTAATCCACTTCACCTCTTCCTTAGCAATGTGGAGTCAAAGCCTCACCTGAGGAGTGAGACCAGCACAGGACACCTCCAGTTTAATCTAAGCATTTACACACATTTTGTTCACGCAGACACCTCCTGTTTTAACCTAAGCTTTTACAGACTTTGCTTTGTTCATGCTCACACTTTTGTTCGAGCGTTCAGAGAGGTAATGGTCCCCACCCTTTTGGAGAATGTGTCCAGGGTGTAAGGAGAGTAAGAATGTGTTTTCAGGGCCGTGTGCCTTGTAAAATCACATCGAAGTCGAACTGTGGGGTGACAACAGTGACGTGTTGGAGAACACACTGGGAAAATCGGCAGAAAGTTAAAACGGCTTTTAAAGTTGCGTGGGTGCTCAGGAGAACTTTTGAAAAAAAATTACACATTACACACACACACACAGACACACACACACACACACGCATGCACACAGACACACAGACACACACACACATACACACACGCACACACACACACAGACACACACACACACACACACGCGCGCACGCACGCACGCACACACACACACAGACACACACACACACACAACACACACACACAGGTCAGAGGACAGCTCTGTGAGTGGGTTCTGTCCTTCCACCTCCATGTGGGATCCAGACAGAGCAGAGCAGGGCACGTGCTTTCGTCACGGAACCGCCCTCCAGCCCTTGAACTCCCTGACAGCAATGAATTGCCTTTTCTCCGTGGTGGGGAAAGTACAAGAACTGGACCTTAGGGTCAGGAGTCCCTGGCCCCTGGCCCCTGTCTCCGCTAACACCTGTGATCCTGGCTCTCCTGGCTGCCTTATCTGCGCACTGAGAGGGCTGGACCAGTTCCCTGGGGTGTCTTCCTGCTATCCATTGTGCTGTAATAGAGCATCCCCCAGAGCAGCAGCTCCTGGGGTTATTTGCCCTGGGGCTTACAGATCTGTGTCCCCACATCTTCCTGGTTTTTAGGAGCTGTTTTCCTCTGTCATCTGCCGTCATTTGTGGTAACTGCTAACAAAAAATGGCAGCTGTCTTAGTCTGTCGGCTACTTGCTCTCTGGTTTTCTGTGAGCCCTAAAAGCCAGGAAGCCAGGGTAGCAGAAGCTACACTTACTGCTTGGAGGAGCAGAGCACATCTCCTCAAGAGTAGCACACATAGTAACAACTATTTGGCCACTTATATACTTTGTTTATTTGAGACATGTAGCCTGGGCTGGCCTTGGCTTGCCATGTAGCTGAGGATAACAATGTTTGTTGGAGGGAGGAGGGGCTTTTTTGAGACCAGGTCTTGCTCTAGATCCCTGATTGGCTTGGGATTCACTACATAGACCAGGTTGGCCTCAAATCCTGAGCGGAGCCTACTTTTGCTTCCCGAATGCTGGGGTCACAGGCGTGAGCTCTCACATCTGGCTTTATGGGCTTCATTTGATGCTGGATTGAGCTCAGAGTTTCATGCATGCTAGACTAGGACTCTACCAACTGAGCCACACTGCCAGTCCCGCTGACTTTTTTTTATAACTGTGTGCCAGTGTTCTCCTCTCTCTAGAGCTGATACAATGTCCCAATCCAAAGCTGTCTCTCCTGCTGGTGCCGCCCACCATTCACACTCGAGGGGGCAGAACTGTTTACGAAGCTCCATGGAGTAGGTGCCTTGGCCCATTATCTGATCATTCCCTTTGCCAGGTAACACTGGCTTTACCCTGGTGAGGACTCTCACTCCTCTAAGAAGTGGCTGAGGAGGTGGTTCATTAAGGGAGCCCTGTTCTGGTTACTGAATGATTGATTGGGCTTCCCCACACTGAAGATGAAATATTTCCCCCTCATTTACTTGACTAGCAGTCTCCGAAAGCTGAGATGAAATACGCTCACTGCTGAAAGGACGCGGCCATAGCGACCAGGAAGGCCCAAAGAGGGGACTCCAGAGACCTTAAACAGAACATGGTGGGGTGCTTGAGAAGTCATTCACTGAGGGCCAGTCTGCCTTCAAGTACCTCTTTTCTGCTGGGATGGGGGGAGAACAGGCTGGTGGATTTCATTTAAATTACTTGGGGACTAGGTGAAGAAACCAAGAAATGAATATCAGAATTATAAAGGGAAATAGGTCTTTCTGTCACTTAGGAAATGAAGAGGGAAGCCAGATGGACCCAACAATGACTTACTTGGGTGTTGCAAAGATCCTGGTCAGGAAAAGTAGCTGTGCTCAAACATGGGCCCTGGTAAGGTTTCTCCCCAGAAGCACCTGCGTGAGATAAAAGCCCACCTCTGACACACTGTGGGGCGTGAGGCCAACACTGCTTGAAGCAGCTCTGATCAATCAATCAAGTTGATAGACACAGTGGATAGACAGTGCAGCGGCAGAGGGTGCCTTTCTTTATTTTTTCATCTTTTAGATTTGCTTCCTCTGACATCCCCTCCCCCAAGATGCTGCACTTCCAACCCCGGGGAACAGGAGAGCCAAATGAGCCCCCCCGGAACCCAGCCTGAAACCCCTCCCCACTCCGAAGCCCCAGGTCGTCCCTGTCGGGGAGGTGGGGGGGAGCCCGGGGTCACTTACAGTAGTCAAGGCTGTTCTCGGCACTATGCTTGCTACGGTCACAGGATGGCACTAACCCTCAGTTCTGACCTCACGGCTCAGAGAGGTCACCATGGAGACAGCAGATTGCAATTGTGACCTCCTGCGTGTCAGCAGTGTGCCACTGGTGGCCATTTGAGTTTGCCCACCCCCTCGGCTGCAGGGGCCTGGACTGTAAATTTGGATATCACAGGGCGAGTATACCTGAACCCATAGAAGGGAAAAGAAGCTACTGCCCTGGAGAACAAACTCATGGAGTCGAGGGGTCGGGATGGGACACAAATACACCTCCAACTTCATCTTTGAGCCGTATGAGTAGTCCCTTCACCTGTGGATTTCAATGCTCTTTGTTCTTCCGAACTAAACAGAATCAGTCCCACAAATAAGCATCTATAAATTTATGTGGAAGCAATAGGAAACTCCATATTAAATCAGGCTCTGACATTCGGGTGTGCAGTAAAATTCTTACATGACATATGCACTCCAGTTGGGTCTTACATTTTTCTGAATGCCCATGTGGCTACAGTTACTGCCTTTTTATTCTCATTATCTCAGAAGTAACTATACATTGTCGGTTTTAAAACCGTTTAAGGAGACTTATGCCGAACCCATTCTGTGAGTCCTGTTTCTTCTTGGTGAGGAGAGAATAAAGCGCATGCCCTCCGAGGGTCTCCAGAAAGGTTCTCACACCCGTCCTTTGCTCCCCACCTTCCATTTTCATTGTGTGGCGCTGGCCATGGTCGGTTCTCAGGCAGGGCATTTTCCTCAAGGATTCTACAAGGAACTTAAAAGCAGGTTTTCTGTTTTTCAATAGGCAGTCTCATGTGGCTCAGGCTGGCCTTGAACTCCATGTGATAGAGTCGAGCTTGGACTTCCAACTTTCCAGCCTCCACCTCGAAAGTCCCTGAATTGCAGGCATGCGCCACCTCACCCAGCTCAAAACCAGATTTTCTGAAATGTATGAAGAACATGTTGAGGAGCAAGATTCTCAGACATTCCCCCTGCCTTGGTGACTGGTTGCTTGGTTTTGGCTGTGGAGCTTGGCTGAGCCCTGGTTATCCCCAGCCCACACCACAGACTAAACGTGAGAGGAGCATTTATCAGCACTGGCTCAGCAGGCACAAGAGTGCGAGACCTGTGACTAGGCTAGCCATTGATAAAGGTAGCCTAGAGTGTCAGGGGCAGAGAGGACTGGGGTGGGCGTTTTGTATTATGGTCCCTGTACCTGTCACTCATCCTGCTTTAATCAAGAGCCATGAGTATATCATGCATATGGGCGGACATATGTATGTGTGTGTGCACAGGAAGACCAGAAGTCAATGTCAGCTACGTTGGCTATCACCCTCCAGCTGACCTTTTGATACAAAGACATTGAGGTGGTTTGAATAGGATGTACCCCTAATCTGGCTGGGTCGTGGTGGCACACGCCTTTAATGCCAGCATCAGGGAGACAGGGACAGGTAGATCTCTGTGAGTTCGAGGCCAGCCTGGTCTACAGAGTGAGTTCCAGGACAGGCTTCAAAGCTACACAGAGAAACTCTGTCTCGAAAAACAAACAAATAAAAAGATGTGCCCCTGATCTCAGGCATATGAATATTTGGTCCCAATGGTGAAAAGTTGTTGTTGGTGTTTGCATAAGTTTGGGAGATGTGGCCTTGCTAGAGGAAGTATGTCATGGGGAGGGGGGTGGCCTTTGAGGTTTCAAAGGCCATGTACCTTTCCCAGTTCACTCTCTCTGCTTCCTGCTTGTGCTTCAAGATGTGTGCTCTCAGCTTGCTGTTCTCGCTGGCCACCTCTGCTCCATCATCATGGACTCTAATGCTCTGGAACTGTGAGCCCAGATAAACCCCTCCTTCTATAAGCTGCCTTGATCACGGAACTCCATGGATCTGCTCATCTCTGCTGCTACCCCCATGCCAGGGTTACAGATGTATACAGCCATTCCTGCCTTTTCACATGGGTACTTGGGATTCAGACTAGGACTTACTGCTTCCATGGTAGGCGCTTTGCTGGCTGAGCCATCTTCTTGCCCCTGCTAATTACTTTTTAGCTGTCCTTTTTGACTTAACATTAGGTTTGGATCCATCCAGCTATTCATACTCACTTCTCAGAATTTATTTTAATGCACCTCTTCAGGGTGGCAGTTTGTATGGCAATGGTGGGTGATACACATGGGTTCTTGTTAATGAACAGGACAACACCTGTCCTTAATTCTTAGCCAGTGAGGTCATATGGGATTCAAGGCACCAATTGCATGGCTTTGGTGGTTTGAATAGTAATGGCTCCCATAGGAGGCAGGCAGTGGTGGTTGTATACTTTTAACCCCAGCACTCAGGAGGCAGAGGCAAGCAGATCCTGAGTTCAAGACCAGCCTGGTCTATAAAGCATGTTCCAGGACAGCCAGGGCTATACAGAGAAACTCTGTTTTGAAAAACAAACAAACAAACAAACAAACAAACAAACAAACAAATAAACAAACAAAACAAAAGAATGGCTCCCATAGGCTCCAGTATTTAAATGCTTGGTCCCCAGTTGCTGGAACTGTTTGAGAGCAATTAGGAGGTATGGCCTTGTTGGAGGAGGTGTGGCCTTGTTGGAGGAGGTGTGGCCTTGTTGGAGGAGGTGTGGCCTTGTTGGAGGAGGTGTGGCTTGTTGGAGGAAGTGTGGCCTTGTTGGAGGAAGTGTGGCCTTGTTGGAGGAAGTGTGGCCTTGTTGGAGGAGGTGTGGCCCTGGAGGAGGTGTGGCATTGTTGGAGTGGGTGTGGCGTTGTTGGAGTGGGTGTGGCCTTGTTGGAGTGGGTGTGGCCTTGTTAGAGGAGGTGTGTCACTGGAGGTGGGCTTTGAAGTTTCAGAAGCCCATGCCAGGCCCAGTGTTGTTCTCTTTGATTGACACTTGCAGGTTGGATGTGAGCTCTCAGCTACTGCTCCAGCACTATGCCTGCCTGCCACTGCCCTCCCCATCATGATGTTCATGGACTAAGTCTCTGAAGTTGTAAACAAGCTGCTAATTAAATGCTTTTCTTTTATAAGTTTCTTTTGTCATGGTCTCTCCTCACATCAACAATAACCAAGACAAAGTCCTTCAGCTATCCCTGAAGCAGTCCTGATTTCTCTCAGACTCCTAGACCTCAGCATTACATCTGCCCACTCACACATGGGCACACGCTTGCTTCCCTCCTACCAGGACTAGTTTTATTTTAGGGAATGTTGAGTCTGTGGACTTAAAAAAATAACTAAAAAGAAGTTCTGAAATGTTCACATTTAACTGAAGTAACATATAGCTCATTCCAGAGCTGAAGGGAGAGGCCAGGAAGCCATGCTCTTTCCCAGCTTTGGCTGCACCCTTTGTGAGTGTACTGTTGTGGAGAGCCAGTACAGGGCTCTTTGGGAGCATGGCTTCATACTGCCTCATGGATCTGGTGAAACCATTCCGCTAGTGTGGAAAGTGGACCACCACCTGATGTAATCCAGATAAAAGCTGCCTTTCTTCTTGTTTACTTAGTTTTAAATTGTATTTATCTATTCTTCGAGACTCTCATACATGTATTCAATGCTTTTATTTGCTTTTGAGACAGTTTCTTAAACTGCAGTGTAAGCTGTCCTGAAACTCACTTATTTAATCTAGGCAATCCTCCTGCTTCAGTCTCCTGAGTGCTGGGATTACAGGCATGAGCCGCCACACCTGCCTGGGATTTATTCGTTCCTTTTCCAGCAGCAGTTCTAAATGCCACAGGAAATTAAGCAGGATAACATTCGTGGGGCTTTGCCTTGTGGCCTGTGACGGTGTGCTTCCACATGGAGAGCCAGCTCTATCCCTCAAAGGACCTGCCTGAAGTGACACTCATAAGTTTTCACAATCCTTTGGCTCAAATATTCATGACTGTGGGAGATGGGGACCCTTTGTCGCATTATGTCCTTGGCTTCCATGTATAAAACTCAAACTTGTAGGGACTGGGGAGATGGCCCAGTTATTAAAGTGCTTGAGTTCAATTCCCCAGTACCTACACGAAAAAAGGAAAAAGCTAGGTGTGTGATGTGTGCTCACACTCCCAGTGCTGAGGGAGTGAAGACAGGTAGATCCCAAGGCTCTTGGGTTAGCCAGCCTGTCTTCCCTGTGAATTCTAGGCCAGTGAGAATGACTGATTGTCTCACAAAACAAGGTGATGAGTTCCTGAGGACACTTGAGGTTGTCTTCTGTCTTTCACATGCACACACCTCCCCCGCCCCACAGGTACACAACCTGTACACAATCGAACGTCTAGTGGAGAAGCTCTTTTGAAGTGTTGATTTATTGAAACGGAAGGGATCAAGGGATTCCAGTTCATACCGTTAGCACTCCTGTAATTCATTTAATAAAGGGCTAGATCGGGAACAACCCAGAGATTAATACTTTAATCTGCAACCTAACCTTTCAAAAAAGATTCTTGTGAGTAAAGAATCTGAACAGACAGTCTTCTAAAGAACATGTACAGTTAGCCAATAAATGTATGAGAGGTGTTGAACATTAGTCATGGGAATATGCAAATCAAAGCAGTAATGAGATGCCACTCCACACCCACCGAAGTGGCAAGAGTGTGGAAGATTAGGATTCTCTCACATTGTTGGAGGGAACGTGAAGTGCTATGGCAGAAGAGAACATGGTCCAGTAGTTAGTCTTTAAGAAGTTAAACAGAGGCCAGCAAGATGGTTTCTCTCTCTCTCTCTCTCTCTCTCTCTCTCTCTCTCTCTCTCTCTCTCTCACACACACACACACACACACACACACACACACAC